GTTGCCGCGCCGGCCTCGGTTACTCTGCCGGCGCTGCTTAGTTCGACTGTTGGAGTCGCTCCGCAGAGCTCAGGGTTTGGATAAAGCAAAGGTGGAGTAGGATCTGGGAGCCGCCGATGCGGGGTAGATATGAGCGAACAGACCGTAGCAGTGGCGTGCTCGCCGGCCGACCAGTGGAGCGGGGGAGTTTGCCGCGGGAGGAAACACGCCGGCGACAGGAGGACCGGTGGTGGTGAAGTGAAACGAAAAAAAAAACACCCGCAATAGCGGTGTCATTAGCAGAAAAAATCACCATTTTACATTTGGTCATAAAAATCACCACACCAAAAAAAAACACTGACAATGAAAGCTAAGTGTTTTGATGATGTCACAAATTGATCAGGCCCACCACCGGTCTGAGTTGGCAGAAAAAAAAATAGCATGCAGACACTTGGACTTGATGTTCTTTCTCTTCTCTCTCAGCAATACATCGAGCACCTCATGTGCATCAAACTAATCTTCAGTCAAATCCAGAGTCATCTTTCCATGAAAGTTGCTAAACCTGGAGCTCAATGTCGAGCCTCCTGAGGCCCTTGGCGGTGACCGGTCCATGTGCGACCATGACCATGTCAGGCCACCGCACCCTGAGCCGCGGCCAGCTCCCGCCCGCAGCGTCGTGCCCCTTGAGCAGCCCCTTCACCTTGGCTGAGCTAGTGAACACGATGGTGTTGAGCGTGGCGGCGTCCAGGGCCACCAGCCCCTCGGTGTAGTCAGGTCCGGCCCATCATGCGGTGTACGCCGGCGCGCACACCGCTGTCGACCCGGCCGCGCCGAGCTGGACGAGGAAGTCATATTCTCGATAAATGACTCATCGTTAACTATCTTCCCCCTAAAATCACAAATCCATTAGTAAATAACAAACATTACATATTTCCCAAGGTTTTCCATGGCCGCCTTGTGTTTAATGGAACAGAAACCGAATACAATTTTTTCCACATCGTGGTTTTTGGTCCGGCGTAGGACTAGGAAGGCACTCCAATTTCGCTCGCCATTGGGACAAAAGGAGGAGGAACAAGGGAGGGAACCAACCCCTGGTGGGTTGGTGCCCCCCCCAAGCCTAGGGTTAGAAACCCTAGGGGGTGGGGGCGCCTCCCACCTGACTTGGGGGGCAAGTCCCCCCCTTGCCCCCCCCCCTTGTAGATGGGATCTGGGGGGGGGCAGCCCCCTCTCCCCTTCCCCTATAAATAGTGGGGGCGTGGGAGGGCTGCCATACCCTTCCCCTGGCACAGCCCCTCCCCCTCTCCAGCACCTCCTCTTCCTCCGTAGTGCTTGGCGAAGCCTTGCCGGAGAACTGCAAGCTCCACCACCACGTCGTCGTGCTACCGGAGGTCTCCCTCAACTTCTCCTCTTCCCTTGCTGGATCAAGAAGGAGGAGACATCCCCAGGCTATACGTGTGTTGAACATGGAGGCGTCGTCCATTCAACGCTGGATCGGATCTTCCGCGATTTGAATCGCTGCGAGTACGACTCCATCATCCGCTTTCCTTGTAACGCTTCTGCTTAGCGATCTTCAAGGGTATGAAGATGCGCTCCCTCTCTCTCGTTGCTAGCATCTCCTAGATTGATCTTGGTGACACGTAGGAAATTTTTGAATTATTACTACGTTCCCCAACAGTGGCATCATGAGCCAGGTTTATGCGTAGTTTGTACGCACGAGTAGAACACAAAGTAGTTGTGAGCGATGATTTGTTCAATTTGCTTACCGTTACTAGTCTTATCTTGATTCGGCAACATTGTGGTATGAAGCAGCCCGGACTGACCTTACACGTACGCTTACGTGAGACTGGTTCCACCGACTGGCATGCACTTGATGCATAAGGTGGCTAGCGGGTGTCTGTCTTTCCCACTTTTGTCGGATCAGATTCGATGAAAAGGGTCCTTATGAATGGTAAATAGCAATTGGCATATCACCATTGTGGTTTTTGCGTAGGTAAGAAACGTTCTTTCTAAAAACCCATAGCAGCCACGTAAAACATGCAACAACAATTAGAGGACTTCTAACTTGTTTTTGCAGGGTATGCTATGTGATGTGATATGGCCAAAAGGATGTGATGAATGATATATGTGATGTATGAGATTGATCATGTTCTTGTAATAGGAATCACGACTTGCATGTCGATGAGTATGACAACCGGCACGAGCCATAGGAGTTGTCTTAATTTATTGTATGACCCGCGTGTCAATGAAAACGCCATGTAATTACTTTACTTTATTACTAACCGTTAGCCATAGTAGTAGAAGTAATAGTTGGTGAGACAACTTCATGAAGACACGATGATGAAGATCATGATGATGGAGATCATGGTGTCATGCCAGTGACGATGGTGATCATGCCGCGCCTCGAAGATGGAGATCAAAGGCGCAAGATGATATTGGCCATATCATGTCACTTTATGATTTGCATGTGATGTTTGTCATGTTTACATCGTATTTGCTTAGAACGATGGTAGCATAAATAAGATGATCCCTCACTAAAATTTCAAGAAAGTGCTCCACCTAACTGTGCACCATTGCGAAGGTTCGTTGTTTCAAAGCACCACGTGATGATCGGGTGTGATAGATTCTAACGTTCGCATACACCGGGTGTAAGCCAGATTTACACATGCAAAACACTTAGGTTGACTTGATGAGCCTAGCATGTACAGACATGGCCTCGAAACACGAGAGATCGAAAGGTCGAACATGAGTCGTATAGTAGATACGATCAACATGGAGATGTTCACCATTGATGACTAGTCTGTCTCACGTGATGATCGGACACGGCCTAGTCGATCCAGATCATGTATCACTTAGATGACTAGAGGGATGTCTATCTAAGTGGGAGTTCATTAAATAATTTAATTAGATGAACTTAATTATCATGAACTTAGTCTAAAGTGTCTTTACAATATGTCTTGTAGATCAAATGGCCCACGCTAATGTTGCCCTCAACTTCAACGCGTTCCTAGAGAAAACCAAGCTGAAAGACGATGGTAGCAACTATACGGGTTGGGTTCGTAACTTGAGGATCATCCTCATAGTTGCCAAGAAAGCATATGTCCTTGAAGCACCGCTAGGTGACGCACCCATTTTCCCAGCAACTCAAGACGTTATGAATGCCTGGCAGTCACGTAGTGATGATTACTCCTTGGTTCAGTGCGGCATGCTTTACAACTTAAAACCGGGGATCCAAAAGTGTTTTGAGCAGCACGGAGCATATGAGATGTTCCAAGAGCTGAAAATGGTTTTCCAAGCTCATGCCCGGGTCGAGAGATATGAAGTCTCCGACAAGTTCTACAGTTGTAAGATGAAGGAAAACAGTTCTATCAGCGAGCATATACTCAAAATGTCTGGGTTGCACAACCACTTGTCTCAGCTGGAAGTTAATCTTCCAGATGACTCGGTCATTGACAGGATCCTCCAGTCACTTCCACCTAGCTACTGAAGGAAATATGCCCTAGAGGCAATAACAAAGTTGTTATTTATATTTCCTTATATCATGATAAACATTTATTATTCATGCTAGAATTGTATTAACCGGAAACTTAGTACATGTGTGAATACATCAACAAACAAAGTGTCCCTAGTATGCCTCTACTTGACTAGCTTGTTAATCAAAGATGTTTAAGTTTCCTAGCCATGGACATGTGTTGTCATTTGATGAACGAGATCACATCATTAGAGAATGATGTGATGTACTAGACCCATCCGTTAGCTTAGCACTATGATCATTTAGTTTATCATTATTGCTTTCTTCGTGACTTATACATGTTCCTATGACTATGAGATTATGCAACTCCCGTATACTGGAGGAACACTTAGTGTGCTATCAAATGTCACAACGTAACTGGGTGATTATAAAGATGCTCTACAAGTGTCTCTGATGGTGTTTGTTGAGTTGGCATAGATCGAGATTAGGATTTGTCACTCTGATTGTCGGAGAGGTATCTCTGGGCCCTCTCGGTAATGCACATCACTATAAGCCTTGCAAGCAATGTGAATAATGAGTTAGTTACGCTATGATGCATTACGGAATGAGTAAAGAGACTTGCCGATAACGAGATTGAACTAGGTATTGACATACCGACGATCAAATCTCGGGCAAGTAACATACCGATGACAAAAGGAACAACGTATGTTGTTATGCGGTTTGACCGATAAAGATCTTCAAAGAATATGTGGGAGCCAATATGAACATCCAGGTTCCGCTATTGGTTATTGACCGGAGACATGTCTCGATCATGTCTACATAGTTCTCAAACCCGTAGGGTCCGCACGCTTAACGTTTGACGACGATCGGTATTATGAGTTTATGTGTTTTGATGAACCGAAGGTAGTTCGAAGTCCCGGATATGATCACGGACATGACGAGGAGTCTCGAAATGGTCGAGACATAAATATTGATATATTGGATGGCTATATTCGGATACCGGAAGTGTTCTAGGTGATTTCGGAGAAAACCGGAGTGCCGGAGGTTACCGAACCCCCCCCCCCCCAAGGAACTAATGGCCCACATGGACCTTAGTGGAGAGAGAGAGGGCCGGCAAGGGCATTCCGCGCCCCTCCCCCTTTGGTCCGAATTGGACTAGGGAAGGGGGGTGGTGCCCTCCTTTCCTTCTCCCTCTCCTCCTTCCTTTCCCCCTCCTGGTAGGACTAGGAAAGGGGAGTCCAAATCCTACTAGGAGGAGGACTCCTCCTATCCTGGCGCGCCCCAAGGGCCGACCGGCCTCCCCCTTGCCCC